AGGAGCAGAGACAATGCCAGTGCATCTAGGGGCAGGGATGAGACGTACTAACACAGCCACAGCAGCCTGTTACCTTGCATGGAACAGTGTGGAGCTTCCCAATCATGTTCCCCGAGTAGCCTCTTTACACAGGGACAAGACGATGGCCCCTCAGATGGCAGTGGCTACCTCCTTGGAGCACTTGACTCCAAGACCAATGTGACCATTGTAGTCCCCAATAGCGACAAAAGCTTTGAACCTGGTCTGCTGGCCAGCATGAGTCTATTTTATGTGCATTGGTGTTTTGCCTCTTTGACTGTGTGAGGGTATCAGATCTCCTGGAGCTCAAGTTACAGATGGCTTTGAGTTGCCATGTGGGTGCTGAGAATTGGACCCCATCCTCTGGAAGAGAAGCCAATGCTTTTAACCACTGAACCATCTCTCCAGCTCCAAATTTTAAAAAATTACTGCATTATATCTTACAAAACACATGAAAATCTCTATGAGAGGTATAGGAATCACGACTAACACTTTTCCCCTTGTAACTTCTTTCTCATCTGTTTCATATGATTTGATATGTTTTGTTTTGAGACAGAGTCTCACTATGTAGTCCAGACTAGCATAGAACTTAAAGCAATTCTCCTGCCTCACTCTCTTAAGTGTGAGATTATAGATGTGGTTGAGTACGGAAATGCTTTAGGTACTAAATGTTAAAATATTGGAAAAACACAAAAACTGAACATTATTACTACTCTGTGAAAAGAATGTGCTATATGTTCACTATATGAGCCCCAAGTCTTTGTGGCGGTCTTATGTAGCCCAGGCTGACCTTAAACTCTCTGTATAGCTGAGGATGACCTTGAACTCCAACCCTCCTACATCTACCTCCAGAATGCCAAGACTATAGATGTATAACATGATGCCAGGGTTAGAATCTACATCTTTGAAAAACTAGGCTCCAGGACATAGAAGTGCCTCAGCTGGTAAGGGTGCTACTGACAAGCCTGAAAACTCAAGTTCCATTTCTATTTGGTGGAAGGAAAGAATGGAGTCCTGCAAGATGTCCCCCTGATTACATGTACACAGAGTTACAATGTCATGGATGATCAAATGCACACACACTATACATACATATATACATACATAGAACATACATACATACAAACAATGTAAGATAAAAGATAAGGTTTAAGGTAGCCATACTGTCTGCCTCTTCGGTGAGAAGCTAAGTTCCTTGGTCAATCAACCCAGTTGGCTTAAGAGTTGTTGCTTTTAATAGTCATGTGGTTAGACGTTACAGATATGAAAAGGTGGTGGGTTGTTAAGAGTTCACAGATTGCTGACACTAGTCTGCTTTCTTTATAGTACCTCCCAAGTACTGGGATTAAAGGCTTGTGACAACACACCTGGCTGAGTTAAGAACTCTTGCTGAGGACAGGGGTCCCATTCCCAGCACCACATGACAGCTCAAAGCTCTAACTCCAGTTCCAAGGGAGCTGATACTTTCCTCTGGACTCTGTGGGCACCAAACAAACATGTGGTATATATACATACACAGGCAAAAACACTCACATAAAATAAAAGTAGATCTTTAAAAAAAAGTATTCACAAAGCATTTCATTGTATTGTATTAAGTATGACAATCTATAGAGAATTTAAATTATACAAGAAGATGTAGAATGATGTAAGCCTTGTACCATTTCATGTAAGGGACTCATGTAAGACCTATGGAGTTTGATATTTGTGAGGACTCTAAAGCCAAAGCTCCACAAATACAGAGACAATTATTATTTTAATTAGTTGATTAAATGACTTAGTGTACCTGTTCTATAGGAAGCACATGTTAGCTGTAATTTCAATAACTCTATGAATTAGTAGGTCTTCCCCCCTCCTTTTGATTTTTTGGCTGAGTAATCAGGTTTAGGAAAATTTTGAGGGTTTGGATTTAATTCATTCATTCATTCATTCATTTAAGCCTACAGCGCCAGGTATTCTTAGGTGGTTTCCCAGCCAAGTACCAACCAGGCCTGACCCTGCTTAGGTTCCAAGATCAAACTAGGTGGGTTCAGGGTGGAATGGCTGTTTGAGTTTGTGAGGTTTTTGTTGTTGTTGTTTGTTTATTTTTTAAGATTTATTTATTTTTATTTTGTGTGCATTGGTGTTTTGACTACATGTATATGTCTGTGTGAAGGTATAAGATCCCCTGGAACTGGAGTCACAGACAGTTGTGAGCTGCCATGTGGGTGCTGGGAATTGAACCTGGGTCCTCTGGAAGAGCATCCAGTGCTCCTAACCAGTGAGCCATCTCTCCAGCCCCTGGGTTTGCAATTTTTGAGATAGAATCTCTAGAGTCTTATTGTGTTGTCTAGGCTGACTTCTGCTGCTTTGTAAAAGCTAGACTGACCTTGAACTCAAGACCCCTGTTTCTCACTCCCTAGAGAGTTACAATTGCAGGTGTGAGACACCACACCAACGCACAAATTGTATTTTACTTATCTTTCTGGCTGTTTTTCTGTTCCTTTTACTTTATCTGATTGCCTCAGGAACAAATTTCCAATTTAGGTTTAATTTTTAGGACACAGTATCATGGCACTGAAAAGGGGTCATTAGTAGTGTGTAGTTTGTTTTCTTCTATTAGTTGAAAATAAATTTTTTTTTTGTTTTTTTTTGTTGTTGTTGTTTTTTTGTTTTTTTGAGACAGGGTTTCTCTGTGTAGCCTTGGCTGTCCTGGAACTCACTCTGTAGACCAGGCTGGCCTCAAACTCAGAAATCTGCCTGCCTCTGCCTCCCAAGTGCTAGGATTAAAGGCGTGCGCCACCACTGCCCGGCAGTTGAAAATAAATTGAGGAGTAGAAATGAACAGGTGACATCCTCATCCTTACATAGCTAGAGGAAATCTGTGGAATAAGCCTAAAATCGAAAAACCCAAGGCAACACTGAGAACTGGATATCCAGAGTCTGCAGTAGATCCCAGGTTCTCACATAGCAGGTTCTAAGAACTGGAAGATGACTCGGCACGTACTCCACCTCACTTGGCACCGCCACCCTTCATCTGCTGCTTTGTGTTAGTTAGTGGTCTCTGTTACAGTGAAGATGTAAAATTTGTATTAGTTGCCCTTTCCTGTTTGTTTTTTGTGCTTGCTTGTTTTGTTTTTGACACAAGATCTCATATGATCCCATTGGCCTTTAATTCACTGTGGAGCTAAATATAGCCTTGAACTGGCCCTTCTGTTTCTATCTCCTGTTTAATTTATTTGATGAAAGTGTTTATTGACCACCTACCAATTGACAGTCACTTCAGTGTTGTGAGGGAGACAAAAGAAAATCTATCTGAGATAGGGCTTTTTGCCAGCTTGCTGTCACAGTCACACGCCCAAATAAGCGGCCTATGGGATGAAAGAACTAAATCACCAGAAATGCCCACATTCTAAAGCCCAAATTAAAATCAACAGTGCTGTGACATTATGGATAGCACTTGGGTGGCACAGAAAAAGGTGTGCTGCTGTTCTAGAATCAGGTGCAGCCCTGAACAATTAGGGAAACTAGCCTAGAGGAAGTGTGTAGGGCCTAGGTTGGTTTTCTCCCAGTCTCCTTGTGTAGCTGTTACAACACGAATTCTTATCTTAATTGGACAAATGAGGCCATTGAAATCCAGAGAGGCTGAATGACTTGTCTGGTTCACACAGGTATTAACCAGCTTCTAGTGAGAGTTCATTATGTCACGTCAGATTGCTCTACAAATGAAAAGAAGCAACATCTGAGTGGCAGTGCTGCTGGGTGTATGCTTGCAATATACCAGGCTACCCTGTACCAGGGCTCCTTAGGAAGTATTTTCTGTATTAGCATTATCATCATCACTGCTGACTTAAATAAGGCTTTTTGTGGGAAAAAAGAAATTTTTAAGTGTTTTTCTCAGACTAAACAAACAGGAACTTTAAAATTTTTCTTCATGAAATAGATGCTTTCAAAGACTGCTAGCACTGAACTAATAAGCTACATCCTGGTAAATCAGAGAGTCAGTTTCAAGATCATATCACTGGAGGATTTCTCATTTGGATCACTTGAGACACAAACAGGCTTTATTTTGTTTTTTGTTTGTTTAGTTGGTTTGGTTTTTTGAAACAGATGCCTTGCTATGTAGACCAACCTGCTCTCATACATACAGGATCCTCCTGCCTCTGCTTCCAGTGTACAGCTTACTGCATAAATCTAACAGCACTGAGGTTGCTTGCTTTCTAAGTTCAACACTTAGAAGAGCCATATAATCCATGACCTTTACCCTCCCTCCCCCCTTAGCTGGTGATAGGGACCCTTTGTCAGGAAAGCATTTATGTGGATTCTCCTCCACTGCTTCAGGGCACTCCCCCCTATTAAGTATGAGACAGCAGAAGCAGAAGGGTGAGTTGAACTGCGTTTCCCACTGTGAGGGAGGTTCCTGCTTTGTACTCAGCTAGTTAAACAGGTCAGGGGAATGGGCCTCCTACTCTGTGAAGTGCATTTCTTATGGCATGCCCCTATACTTTCTTCTTTTCTGTTTATCTACAGATCTGTGATCAGACATCATAACCAACAAAATTAGAAATATTACCTACTAAATTCTTTAGATAAGTGTGTGTGTGTGTGTGTGTGTGTGTGTGTGTGTGTGTGTATGTATGTGTATCTATGTCTACAGTATTCCCACCAGTTTCTTCTTAGAAATTAAAACTCTGAAGTTTGGAAGTGTCCAGCGTCCTGAAGCAAGATAATTGAATGTGACAGGAACACAGTAACCAGAAGACCTAGGAGGCCAGGAAAGATTTGCAATGCAAATATAAAAATAAATAATGAGTGAGACTTCTTTTTTCTCTTACAGGGAAACTGGATTCCAAGATCCATCAAGGAGCAAAGAAGGGGTTAATGAAGCAGAATAAAGCTGTCTGACCCAGGAAAAAAGGAACTATACAACATAGTGGAGTCTTGTGTACTAAATTGCTATCCGCTGGTCCTTTGGGATTGAAGCAGTAGAAAGCTAAAGGGCTTGGCATCAGGCTTCAATCTCTGAGAATTTAAACTCTTACCAGATCTGTATATTTTTCTTAAAGGGTAGGATTCTTTATGTAGTGGGTTAAAAATCTTTGAATATGTTATTTATAAAAACTCATTTTAAAAATTCTAGGTCTTTGACATTTTTCTCAGAACTAAATTCAAAACAGGAAGGAAGAAATTGGAAATTATTTTCCTCTGTGAGATTTGTATTTGTAATTAGGAAACTCTTAACATAGATTAACATTTTTACAAGAGACTCTTTGAATTTAATTTTTTCCTCAAAATAATAGAATGGAGACTATTAGGATGTTTGAAGAATCTTTATTTAACAGAAGCCTGTGATGAAGTGAGAATGTTCTTACCAAATGTTCTGCTTTTGGTATCTGGAGACCGGGTCTCATTCTGTGACCCAGGCTTGCCTGGAACTTACAACAGTCCTCCTGCCAAAGCCTCTCAAGTGCCATGTTTACAGACCAACCATGCTCAGCTTCTAACCCAAATCTCTCAGAGTGGAAAGCTAGAATTCCCATTATTAGCAGATTTCTTTTTCTTTCTGGAAAAAATAACATGAATACATACTTCCTTTTGTTCTTTAGTTTGAGAACATGGGTTAGACTGGGAAGTGAGAGAGCCACCTGCTAACACAGCCTAAAGCTGCCCTGTTTATTTTGTTAGTGTTGCAAAAGCATCATGTAGATGAGACAATTAGAGAAAAGCTAGAAAATATAATCCTTTGATAAATACATCAAAAAACACTCTAATGCTGAAAACTAGCCTTTTTTTAAAACTCTAAATATCCTAAAAAGCCATGCCTGGAAAAATAAGGGTTGGTTTGAAGTTAGATTTTTCACTGGTCCCTTTAACCATTCTCTCAGTAAGCACTTGTTTCTGAGGAGTTTCAAAAGTGATATTGGACTCTGAATTGGTGGATCCTAGGAAATTCATGGTCTTAAATGTGTATGTTCTGCTTTTTATAAAACACGACTACCACACTGGGGATGTTGGACTCCCTCCAACAGTTTGTGTGCTTAACTTAAAAAAGAAAGAGCAAGTGAGAAAGAAAAAAAAAAGTACCTTGTGTTATGAAAAAGATTAATTTCCCTTTCTTTAATCCTTCATATTCAGCATTATTTGCATTGAAATGCCTGTACTCATTCCACATTGATGTTCACTCAACTGTGAACTGCTTGTTGCATTACATTGGTTCTACGGAGGCTGATCACTCTGGATTCCCAGGGAAACCCGAGCAGATTCTTGTTCCAGTGATGCACACATGCCGTATTCTCTCTTGTCCTGTTGGACCTCTGTGTAGAAAGTGGAAGAAGACAGTTAATGGCATTTATTAATGTGAGAGATGTCTTTTTGGCCTCTTGGAAACTACCATTGTTGAAGGCAAAACTGTGTTTACTATGTAGTTAATAGTTTACCAAGCAGTAGCACCTTGAATTCTATGCTGAAATTGTCTGGCTCTCTTACTATCAAAAATAAAGCTGAAAGGTAGGATGGGAAGAAACAAGGAAGTGGAGAGGGTCTCCACCCTTTTGTTTAAAAGCAGCCTTTGCACAGAAAAGTATGGATTGCTTTGTCTATGTGGATAATTTGTGTGCACACCTTAAAAGAAAAAAGTCAGGAATGTCAACAGATTAGCTCATTTGCAAGTTTATAAGAACCCACCTCAGCTCCTCAAACACACAGCCAGAACCACGTAAATAAATGACAGAGCTACTTGGAAACTTCTCCTTCTCATGGTTAGGCTGGGAAAGTCTGTCTTTGGTTCACATGGTAGTGGTAGTATAAGGTCTCTCTTCTGTTTGTGGAGACTCAAGGGAGGGAGTGTGGAAGAAGCTTTCGGGTAGATGGCCCTCAGTTGCTCACTGATGAATAGTATAATTTAAAGCCGGATGGAAATTCTTAGTAGCCTGAGTTCAAACTTGTCCAAGAATAGCCTGTTGGTGTATTATGACACTTCACTCTGACCCTGTTTACTCTGGAACAGTTTCAACTAAGGAAGTTCTGAGTTTCTGAGTTGCTTTTCTGTTGCAGTTTCTGTGTTCCCTTTTGAATGACCGAATTAAGATGCTATTAATTCATACAGTAAAGGAATTGGCTTCTCCTTTTTGTTTTTTCCCAGACAATACTCAGTTTCCTTTATATGAGCTCACAATAGGGTATGTCGGAAATTATGGACTTTGTCAGAGTTGATGAGATCTTATCTTTAGTGAAGTACTTAGAATAGATTAAGAATTTGGCCAGATGTGGTAGTATGTACCTTTGATCCCAGCACTCAGGAGGCTGAGGCAAGTGATCTCTGTGAGTTCCAGGCCAGCAAGGGCTATATGGTAAGCCCCTGTCACACAGGAAAAAAGAAAAAGAATTTTGGAATTTTTTTTTATTGCTTCTTTAGTTAATACAGAGAGAACTAAGTGAACTGTCTTTTCTTCTTCTTCTTCTTTTTTTTTTTTTTTTTTTTTTGGTTTTTCGAGACAGGGTTTCTCTGTGTAGCCCTGGCTGACCTGGAACTCACTCTGTAGACCAGGCTGGCCTCGAACTCAGAAATCCACCTGCCTTGGCCTCCCAAGTGCTGGGATTAAAGGTGTGCGCCACCACCACCTGGCCCTGTCTTTTCTTTTCAAACTGAAATTTTATTGTAAACCCATTTTTCCTCCTACCATGTAAATGTGAGACACTTTAAAGATTACTTTTATAAATAAGTATAGTAATGGGCTTCTATGATTTATGACACTTAATCTTTTCCATTTAATTACTGTCTCTTCTATAGCCCATTCATGTGGTGGCCATTTAATTTAGAAGATTTGTTTAATGCCATGTGGGGCCTAGCCAAGATTAGATGGCGTGGTTCTGTTCACTTGACCAGCTCAGCTACTAAACTAGAAAAATCAGCTAACTTCAGTTTGTTAGGCCGGGAGGAGGGAAGACAGTCCAGTGATAAAGGATATTTTCTTCCTTGAGAGTCAAATAGCAAGCATACGTCAGCTATTCTCAGCTTCTGTGAATGTGTTTGGGAGGAGGCAGTCCAAATCGAAGGCTAGAACAGCAACAAGGGATCCAGCCTGCAGAGAGCTTTCCTACTTTAGAGAAAAAAAGAACATAGCCACAGTGCCATCCTCTGTTACAATGAACTTGTATAAACGCCCATTTACGTGTGTGAATACAATGTGGCCTCATTCAGGAAATGAAATGTAAACTGCTCAGATGTTGAATTTCTGAAGATGTGAAGATGGGAGAGCCCAGAAAGAAATCCCAGTGAGTCAGGGAAAGGGGGGGTGTGCCTAAATCCACAGAGAGATGTGTCAGGGAAGAAGATCTGGGCATGAAAAGAAAAGCACATCAATGCCTGAGACTTAAGAAGAGTCTAGTCAGGCATGGTGGTTGCATGCCTTTAATCCCAGCATTTGGGAGGGAGAAGCAGGTGGGTCTCTAGGGTTGTGCTGCCTAATATGGTAGCCATTGGCCACACGCTGTTGAATTAAATTTTAAGTAAAGACTCAGTTCTTCAGTCAGTGTACCTTCAGTGCCCTAATAGCTCATATGTGGCTAGAGACTTCTGAACTGAACAGCAGGGGGCAGGGGTTAGCAAAGTCGTTCTATAAGGGTGAGATAGCAAATGGCTTTTTTTTTTTTTTTTTTTTTTTTCTTTTTAGGCTTTTTGAGACAGGGTTTCTCTGTGTAGCCCTGGCTGTCCTGGAACTCACTCTGTAGACCAGGCTGGCCTCGAACTCAGAAATCTGCTTGCCTCTGCCTCCCAAGTGCTGGGATTAAAGGAATATGTTACCACTACCTGGCAGCTTTGGTTTTATAAACTATTCAGCTGTGCTACTGTACTGCAAATACACCCATAGATTATGTGAGTAAGTAAGCTTGGCTACAGCCAGCAAAACTGTTTGTTTGTTTGTAGACACTTTTGAGACAGTCTCTCTGTGTAGCCAAGTTCAAGTCCAGGCCTAGTTTTGTATTTTAGATCTCCAACCTCAAGCTCCCAAGTGCTGGAGTCTGTATCACCACACCAGATTCATATAATTTTTGTGTTGTAGAATATCTTCTTTTATTTAATTATTGTTAAAATGTAAAAACTAGTTTTTAACTCACAGGATTTACCAAAACATGTGGTGGTGAATCTGATTTGTTCTTTGGGCTACTAGTTTTCCAATACTTGCTCTAGAGATACAAGAAGTCAAAACTTTAGATTCTCTTACTGTCTTATACATTAGATCCTTGTCTTTAGTCAGAGTCCCTAACTCTGACTAAAAGCTATGTAGAACTGTTTTCTTGTTCCCCAACTGTTTTAGTCTGGTGCTACAGTGTTTAACCCTTAATTAAATCACAAAAATATAAACACCAAACCCTGTTTTTCCTCTCTCTGTTAAGTAAGCCCTCATTTTGTAATCTGGAGTATAGATTGGGAAGTTGGCTGTCACCCTGAGTCAGTTCTGTCCCTTTACTGTCCAAGAAAAACGTGACTATCAATGGACCAAAAGAGAATTACTTTTTCCTAGACTAGATGGGCTCAGTGTTCATCTTTAAGCTGTCAGCCCTCCCACCCTCCTTTTCTTTTTGTGGAGATAGCAATGGAGAGTAAAGGGATGTTATGACTCAACTCGATCTTTAAGTCACATGCTATTTTGAATGGCACCAGTGAAGAGTGCCCTTAGAATAAGAGAATAAAGGTAACTGCATAGCTGAATAAAATGGTCAAGGACACGGGAAGGGCATACTGGGGGTTCTTGGGAATTAAGATAAACATTGGTTTGCTATGGTAGGAGGTGGAAGTCTTAGGTCATGAAGTTGTTTCGTAAGCAACTGGTGGGAGGGCTCAATTACACATAAACAGAATGTCTACTGTGTAGGAGATGGCGTGCTGGGCAATCTCAAAATGATTAACAGATTTAAAAGTCACAATCTATAGGGACAGAATGGTGGGATGGAGTGCAGAAACGGGCTCAAGATAAAAAGCAGTACGATTTAGTGATACTAGATGGTGAGGTGGAAAGGGACACAGAAGACTTTAGAAACAGGTACTCTGTAGAGGAAAACAAATG